GGCTGTTTCAACCTCACCGGGGTCGTCCCTACCACACCGGTTGCCGTTTCGACCTGACCGGGGTTGTCCCTACCACACCGGGGCCGTTACGACCTGATTGGGGTCGTCCCTACCTCACGGGGGCTGTTTCAACCTCACCGGGGTCGTCCCTACCACACCGGGGCCGTTTCGACCTGACCGGGGTCGTCCCTACCTCACGGGGGCCGTTTCAACCTCACCGGGGTCGTCCCTACCACACCGGGGCCGTTTCGACCTGACCAGGGTCGTCCCTACCTCACGGGGGCCGTTTCAACCTCACCGGGGTTGTCCCTACCACACCGGGGCCGTTTCGACCTGACCAGAGTCGTCCCTACCTCACGGGGGCCGTTTTCAACCTCTCCGGGGTTGTCCCTACCTCACGGGGGCCGTTTCAACCTCACCGGGGTTGTCCCTACCACACCGGGGCTGTTTTCAACCTGACCGGGGTCGTCCCTACCACACCGGGGCCGTTTCAAACCTGACCGGGGTCGTCCCTACCTCACGGGGGCCGTTTCAACCTGACCGGGGTTGTCCCTACCACTCCTGGGGCCGATTCAACCTGACCGGGGTGTCCCTACCACACCGGGGCCGTTTCGACCTCACCGGGTCGTCCCTACCTCACGGGGCCGTTTCAACCTGACCGGGGTTGTCCCTACCACACCGGGGCCGTTTCGACCTGACCGGGGTTGTCCCTACCCACACCGGGGCCGTTTCGACCTGACCGGGGTCGTCCCTACCACACCGGGACCGTTTCAACCTCACCGGGGCCATCCCGACCTCACCGAGGCCATCCCAGCCTTACCGGGGAAACAGGAAGTTTGGCCCTCTGTCCCCTGCCGGCGAAAGCCACAGTCTTTATATGTGTTCCTTATGCCCACCCATGGCTGCTGAGTCTCCATCCGGCCTGATTCAAGTTCTCATCCCTACAGCCTTCCCTCAGCCCACCCGCTCAAGGAACCTGGACCATGAGCTGGCAGGAACACGTTCACAGGCACCCAAACTATCTGCCCCCTCAACCGCACCCCCCAGCAGCACACTATTCCCCAGAATCCAGGAACTATGCCCTCATTTCAGGTCTTCCATGCACAGGCAAAACTCAGGGGGCGGGGGCACACCAACCACAAATCATCCTCCAAATGTGGAATTATATTGAGACCAATCCTCTCCTTCTGGAAATGCTTGTATTACAGAATGTTCCCACCATTGAAAATAAACAAAACCATATCCTGGAGAATACATGCTACCTCCAGGACGGCTGGGTGAAGGGGTAAGGGAGAGGTGTGCCGTATTTTTAATTAAGTGCAAAATAATCCCTAAAATGAAAAAAAAAAAAGAGACGTAAACACCAGTGGGTCTCAGGGGTGTGAATGGGTTGGCGGGAGGCAGGATTTTCTAAAGGTGAACTGATTTCAGGGCCCATAGCATCAGGGGGCTTCTCCCAGATACAGAAGTAGGTTCATTTGCAGCAGGCCAGGTGCCTGGCGGGTGGGGAGGAGCAGGCTGGAGAGTCCTCTGGATGGAGACAGAAGAGCCCTGGCCAGGGCGGCGAGTTCGAGGACTCGGTGTTCGAAGAGCGGCGGGAGCGGCGCCCGGGACCGCCCGCGTCCTACCGCGCCAAGCTCTGCGAGCCGCAGGTCGGTGCCCAACCACGGAGCCCTGACTTCCCTTTCCGACCCCAAATGTTCGTCTGTGACTCCCTCCACCACCGCCCGCCCCTTTTAGCTTCTGTTAAAGCCCAGAACACCGGCCAGTGTCCCATAAAGCTCTTTGCGACCCTGGAATGCTAAATGATCGCCTGGCAGTGGGCGCGTCACTGGATGCCTTTCAGAGTTGAGAGGATCCTATTGTTGTGGTTTTATGGGGAAACGGAGAGCAGTGATGATGTGGAAGCTCTAACCATCAGGAAATTCCGAGGGGACCTGGCCTACAGACGGCAGGAGTATCAGAAAGCACTGCAGGAATATTCCAGTATCTCTGAGAAATTACCATCTACAAATGTCGCCATGAAAAGGGATGTCCAGGAAGGCCAGGCTCGGTGTCTGGCTCACCTGGGAAGGCATGCAGAAGCACTGGCGATTGCGACGAACTTGGAAATGAAAGCAACGAACACAGACCATTTAACCACTGTGCTCTGCCTCCAGCTTGCCATTTGTTCAAGCTCACAGGACGTGCAGCGCACCACCTTTTGCCTTCAGAAGCTGGTCTCTCTGCATCCTTTCAGTCCTTGGACCTGGGGCAGGCTGGCAGAGGCCTACCTGGCCGCCGGGCCAGCGCTGTCCGCATCGGCCGCGTCATCTCACAGACAGAGCCATTCCACCTCCAGGGACAAAGCTGTCACCTCCGCCTGTCCACACTCAGGAAAAGACTGTCATTTGTGTTTCCCTGAGATGTTGCCCGACAGCTCCGTGTGTTCTGTGGAAACGAGCAGCAGTAAGAGCCTGAAGAAGGAGGAAGCTCTGAAGAACTTTCGGGACTCTCTGTCGCTGGAGACTCGGATGAAAGCGTGCGCCTCCTTTATACGGACCAGGCTCTTGCTTCAGCTCACCCAGTCTCAGCAGACGTCGTTTGCTTTGGAGAGGAACCTCAGGACCCAGCAGGAAATTGAAGATAAAATGAAAGGCTTTGGCTTCAAAGAAGACACTGTGCAGCTGATGACCGAGCATAACAGCCTGCGGGGCAGGTGGGCCGAGTGAGGCGCACAGATGCTGTGACTTGCCAAGGTCAGGATGTAAGGGGCGGACCGCGCTGGAACCCGTCCAGTTTCAAGTCATTGTCTGCCTCCCCGCCGTTACTGCTTTGATGTTATGGAGACGGTCAGATGACAATCTTTTTAAACATTTGTTAGCTTTTAAAAATATGCTGGCCCTAGACGCTTTGGTTCAGTGGATAGAGTGTCAGCCCGTGGACTGAAGGGTCCCGAGTTCAATTCCGGTCAAGGGCACTTACCTTGGTTGCAGGCTCACAACCAATCGATGTGTCTCTCTCACATCGATGTTTCTCTCTCTCTGTCTCTCCCCCTCCCTTCTCTTCTCTCTAAAAATCAATGGGAAAATATCCTCAGGTGAGGATTAACAAACAAACAAAATTATATGCTGTTGAAATAACTTCTGATGGCATTTGGAGATTATCCATGTACTTACGTGACTCCTCTTTGTATTTCATTGGAACTTGACAGCCCAGGGACTTTTCCCATGAGAATAACCCTGTTCGTATAAGTCCTAATGTCATGCTTTCAAGAAATGCTTACTGCCCTGACTGGTTTGGTTCATTGGATGGAGCGTCGGCCTGCTGCCTGAAAGGTCCCAGGTTCGATTCCGGTCCAGGGCATGTACCTTGGTTGTGGGCACATCCCCAGTAGGAGGTGTGCAGGAGGCAGCTGATCGATGTTTCTCTCTCATTGATGTTTCTAACTATCTCTCTCTCTCTTCCTCTCTGTAAAAAGTGAATAAAATATATTAAATAAAAAAAGAAAAAAAAAAAAAAGAGCCCTGGCCAGTACATCTCAGGCACACACAGAACCCCAATCCCTCCCAGGGCCTTGCCTCTCTGCCAAACACTGGGAAGGGCACAGTGAGCCCACCAGCAGTGGGAACATCCCAGGTAAAGGCAGGAGTGAGCAAAGGTGGGTTGTGCCGGCAGAGGCCCCATCTCAGGGAACCAGGGTGAATGTTTGGATTTTATGGTAATCCTCACCTGAGGATATTTTTTCATTGATTTTCAGACAGAATTCAAGGGAAGGGGGAGAGGAAGGGAAAGACTGGGAGAGACATCAATGTGAGAGAGGAGGAAAAATTAGATGCCTCCTACAAAGCTCCATAGGGGCCAGGATCAAACCTGCAAACAAGAACCACAAAGTCACGCAGTCTTTATTTCAAGGCCGTGGGCAACAATGCACTAAAAGCCAATATTGGTGAAAGAGTGATTTCCTGGCACTATGCTGTCCCTCCTAAAGCACAGAAACGTTGGGATCCACACAATATCTGTAAATTATACAACGTAGACCACAATAGTGCTTGAAAATCATCCCTGGGGGTGAATATAACCAAGAAAATTAAAGGTACTAAAGAAAAAATACCTTTACTAAAGATCACAAACCAGAAAACAGGACAAGGCGGTTTGCAGGTTGGTGAATCAGAATTTGAAACAATTCAACACAGCATAATGTGAGAACCACATGTCCCGGACAGAGGCCGCACTTCTTAGCTGAGGAAGGTGCCCTGTATGAACCCTGGGTCAGGCGCATTACCTCCTCGGAGACAAATGAAGATCCTATCAGGAGCGGAGGGTTCCTAATGTTCTCAAGCACAAGTGACAACACAGAATACATTTCCCCTGAGCACGCCGTGGTTGGGACTGATACACACTCTTCAGGCGAGCCAGGTGGTAGAGGGGAAATCTCTTCAGCCACAGATCAATCGGGTAGAAGACCTGGGCATGTTACAAATTGCAATGCACCTCGTTTAAGCTTCACCTGTACTGGAAACATGAGGACTCTAGAAGAGTGTATGTCCCATTAAAAGGGGTTTAAATTCAGGAAAATAGGTCGCAAAGAGTCTCCTTCATTGTTGTTATTCTAAGTGAATAAAAGGAAACATTCCCTGCACATTTAACACTTCTCTCCAGTGTGAACTCTCAGATGTTTATTAAGGCTGGATTTTTGGCTAAAAGACTTCCCACATTCAGTACACTCATGTGCCTTCTCTCCAGTGTGAACTCTGAGGTGTCTAGTGAGGTGAGCCCTTGTACGAAAGGACCTCCCACATTCTCTACACTCATATGGCTTCTCTCCAGTGTGAACTCTGAGGTGTTTAATGAGGTAATCCCACATACGAAAGGACATCCCACATTCTCTGCACTTATATGGCTTTTCTCCTGTGTGAACGCTGTTGTGTTGTCTGAGGTTAGACCTGTAACGGAAAGGATATCCCACAATGTCTGCACTCATATGGTTTCTGTCCAGTGTGAACTCTGAGGTGTACAGTGAGCTGAGCCCTTGTACAAAAGGACATTCCCACATTCTCTACACTCATATGGCTTCTCTCCAGTATGACTCTGAGTGTCTAGTGAGTTGAGCCCTTGTACAAA